CCCTTTTCTGTTTCTTTTTTATTGTATTAAATTATATCATTTGGTTATTCATTACACAAACACTTTAAACATTCTTTTAATGGATAAATATCAGATATAACTTTAAATGGAGACTGAAGATTATTTGAAAGGTTGTCTATGTTAAAATTACTTGTTAGTATAATTTATTGCAGTTTTGTATTTTTGACACTTTCATCAATATTTTGATTATTCTCTTTATTAATTCTATCATATTCATATATTCAAGAAGTACCAAAAACATATACATAACTTCTGTCATTCTCTGAAATTATCTAATTGTTTTGTTTCTGAGTTTAATCAGCATTTACATTGAAAGTATTTTTAAAATAAAAATAACAAATGAATGTATACGATTATCTGTTCTCCAATTAAACGTAATTTTGTTTTTCTTTCATGTAATTTCATTGTATAATTTATCAGATAATTTTAATTTCTTTTAAACATTCTAAATAATTTAATTGAATATGAAAAGAAATAGAAAATGAAAATATAAACAATAAAACACTTTAACGCATTTCTTATTCATGAAATTGAAATTCATTTTTTTTTCAATCAATAATCAAAACTTTAATTTATGTTTTTCTTTTTAATTTCATCATTTCTTTCGTGATGATTTATATTATCAGTATTGTATTATTTAACATACATTTAACACCTTATTTATATAATTCATATTTCAAATCTTTTAAAACAACAATAAAATCATTTCACTATTTATTCTTATTTTCTTTATTTCTTTTTTGTTGCTATTTTTATTGTGTTTAAAAGATCCTTTTCCAACGCAAGAAATACAACAAAATTTTAATTCCATAGTTATTGAGTAAAACCTTTGTGTCTTGTAAAGAAAAACAAACTAGACATAGAAATCCAATGTCACACAATAAAAGAATGAATGCCAGTAATAATAAATGACATAACTATAATAATGGTAAACGATATACCAAGGAAAAGGGTTCAGAAAGAAAAAGACGCAAAGAAAAACAAATAAAAAACAAAACATAATGAAAATACAAGAAGAAATATAACAAAATAAAGAAATAGAAATTTAATTGAAGTGATGTATTGTTTTGTAATTAATTTGTTAAATAAGAAATTAT